TTTTTTACGTGTTAGACCGATTGACCAAGATACAAGAGTGGTTTTTATAAAATAATTATTCGGGAACCTTTAAAATATGCTCAGAGATAAAAACAGGGTTTAAAATATTGAAAACCACGGAGTTGGTTCGGGCGCCAAAAACCGAACGCCGAAAACCGAACGACGAAAGCCGAACGCCGACTTAGGTGGTTTTGGTTCTGAGCAAGGACCAAGGATTTTAACAATAAAGAGATTTATCTAAAATGTTTATTTTGATGCATAAAAACATTTTATGATTTTGTAAAATAATTTTGACTCTTTGAGAACCGAGACTTGAATTGATTATCGGTTTTGATCACAAAAGACCGACTCGACTAAGTCTTCAATTCTTGATCTTGTCCTTGAGTCTTTTAGGTCTTGTTCCAAGCCATTCTTCACGCCTTGAGTTATTCAACAAAACTCTTCATATCCACGACGGTTTGGCAATTATCAAAACCTGTCAGAAATGAACACGACTTTAGTTTAACGTACAAAGTGTGTTCCAACACGAAGAACCCGGCGTGCGGCATCCATATGATCAAGTGAGGGAGCATGCATAAACTGCATGGGACAACACGTGGACCGAGTAAGAGAGATCCGGCCGAGTAATAGTGAGATAAATGAGACGACCAATGAGACACTAATACTGGGCCGGGTCCCGAAGTGCCGCGCTAGTGGACCGAGCTAGGCCGTGATTAGGCACGATGGCAGTGTCGGCCGGCTTGCATCCCACCATACCAGCTTCGTGAAGAATATCCAAGCCATGTTTTCTCTGACACAAGATTATCCCCTCCACAGAACGAGCACACTCAATGCCCGAGAAGTAAGATAATTGGCCCAAATCTTTGATCTGAAAGCACTGATGTAGATAAGCCTATAAGGACGTACATATATGAACATTATTACCTGCAACCAAAATATCATCAACATAAACTAGAACGATCAAAATGTCAAGGCCGCGGCGATGAATGAATAAGGTATGATCAGCATGAGCCTGTCGAAAATCGTAGCGACGAAAAGCACACGTCAATTTAGCAAACCAGTTCTGGGGTGACTGACGTAGGCCGTATAAATACTTTCGCAAGTGACACACCTTGCCCGGATGGTGCTGTGCAGAACCAGGTGGTAGACGCATGTAAACCTCCTCCACTAGATCGCCATGAAGAAAAGCATTGTTGACGTCAAGCTGGTAGACCTGCCACCCCTTGGCAGCTGCGACGGCTAGTAGCACCCAAACAGATCCCATTTTGGCAACGAGAGCAAAAGTATATGTATAATCTACCCCCAGCGTCTGGTGATGTCTAAGAACAACTAATCGGGCTTTGTGACGCTCTTTTGTACCATCGGAGTTGAATTTTGTTTTAAAAACCCATTGACAACCCAAAGCTGTTCGGTTGCGAGGTGATACGGTGATTATTCTCCAATGCTTGAATTTGCTTGAGCATGGCGTCACGCTAATTGGAGTGGGGGCGGCCATGGCATAATTCTTGGGAACAAAGTGGGGACTAATTGTTGGAATTTTTGGCATTTTAATAGGCATTAAATGGACCAACTTGGGTATAATTATCAATAGGTCCACTAACAGTTTTAACCGTTAATTCATGGACGTGTGTTCTCTTAAATGAGATAAATATTTTGATATATTATATGNCAAAAATGGTAGAAGGGTGAATGAGAAATTGATTCTCAGAGTTAACCCGTTACGTAATGTTTAAAATTATTCCACTTTTACGGAGTTAACTGGCCATTAATCTCCAATTAAATAGGAAGAATTTTAAACATTATGGGTGTAACCCCCATGTTAATGGTGGTATTAACACACCATTAAAAATATTACTAATGATGGTGAGTCATGGCTATTGAATGTGCCTTCATGGCATATAAGTTACAAAATGAAGAGCCATGAAAAGGCCTATTTAAATGAAGGGACTCTTCTCATTTTTTATTAGAGCATCCATACGTGGGAAAAAAAAGAGGAGAAGGAAAAAGTTAACACTTTTGTCCTTGTTTAACTTTGAAGAGAGCTCTTGGTTTTCTTGCCAATTTTTCAGGCGATTACCTTCATTTTTTCTGGTCGCCAACGTTCCTATGTTGTTCTTGTTCGTTGGTGTGTGGTTGGTCCGTACAATCACCACACACGATAGCGGTTTTATCCTAGGAGGAGAGTGCCCACGTTTTCCAGTACGGTAGGCGGGCACTACTACCTTAAGGACAGCTCCGGCGACTCCGTTGTCCTTCCACGGTGTTTTGTTTTTGCAGGTTCAGTTCATAAAGACCTCGCTGCATTCTGTCCTAGTGCATAATGTCCTCGCAGCCTAGTGCATAACGTCCTTGTATTGCTGTCCAGTGCTTAAAGACCTCGCTGTCCAGTGCTTAAAGACCTCACTGTCCAGTTCTTAAAGACCTCGTTATCCAGTGCTTAACGTCCTCGCTGTCCAGTGCCTAATGTCCTCGTACAACAAGGCCGTTTGAAGATATAGAAATTTATTTTCCAACTTTGTTTATTTTGTAATATTCTAAATAAATTATAAATTCAGAATTTTATTTATTTTTTAATTCCGGGGCCGTTCATCTTCCCCGTCTGTTATAATCCGTACGAGAATTGTAACACTAATGGGTCCCAAAAATCCATGGTACCTGTCATGCAAGTTAGAATAACAAACAAAGTTGGCAATATGATAACGTGTACCTGAAGACGAAGATCGAGTAGGAGAGGCGCACAACGAAGTATTAGATTGAACAGAATGAACCATATAGTCACTAAGGTGGGAAGGCTGACGATGCTGCCGTTGAGGACGAGGAGCGGGTACGGCGGCTGTATCGGTAGGAATGTGTGGGTTGCTATCGCCGGCGAGGTGGTCCTTGGGTTGGGCTGACGAAGTGATCGCCGAGACAGTAGCTTCGGTCGGCTGGGCAGTAGGGATAGTGGAGGCCGACGGTAAGGTAGGGAAAGCGGCGTAGGGAGGAGAAATACTATCTACATTCTACAAAAAAAATTACACTTTTTTGTCAAGTTCAAAAAAAGATTTCACACTTTTCCTTTTTGTCTGTCTCAAAAAATTCATTTTTTTAGAGAGGAATGACTCGAATGAGTGATGACTCACAACTCTCATTTTTTTCTAGATATATTCAAACTATAAAGTTTTTATTTTTAACATTTTTTTAAACTACGTACATGAAAGTCAAATAAGGATATTTTTCCTAATGACTGGAGTATATTTTTTTTCAAATAAACATTTTAAATAAATAGAGATTCTAATTTCAGAAAATCTACTGTAAATATTTCATTTAATAGATTTTTGTATTTTGTGAATATTTCATTTAAAATATTTCATGACTATTAATCGATAAATATGTGTAATTTTGACGTATATATAATAATATATATAAACATATAATAAGACATATTTTAAAAATAGAAAACGTTTAAAACACGTACGTATCCTTTTTCGTATGCTAAACGTTTAATATGTATAGTAAGCCGTATTTTATAAAATCCTAACGTATTATGCAACGATCATATGTTTTGATGTATTATACGTCAGCTGTATATTACTAACTATGATATGAGGTGTTTTTTCCTTGTACTGATGCTTATTAGTTTGTTCCGTAATAAGCAGTTTTTAATTTATAAAAGTTACATATTCTTTTGTTGAAGTGAAATGATTTTAATGACAAATTAGTCATTTAAGAATATTTATAAATAGTGAGAGGCATTTTTGTAAATAATCTGGTCAATACAAAAAATAAATAAACTGATTTTAAAAATAAGTAGGTAAAACTTATTTGTTTCTTTCAGATTTATAAACACGTAAAAATATACTCCCTCCATCCTATATTGATCTTCTCACTTCCCTTTTTTTTCCCGTCCTAAAATCATCTTCCCACACACTTTAAATACACATGTAATGACTAAAATACCCCTAAAAGGTTAAAATATTTATTACTCACCCACCCCATACCCAACCCACCCCTTTATCTTCATTCTTCACCGCCCACACCTCTGACCTTATCTCTTCCTCTCCTTCGTTCTTACACGAGACTTACGACCTCTCTTTCCGTTTGTGTTCCCGTCCATTTCTCCTGCTTAGTTTCCGTCGACTCCCCTGTGTAGCCGTTCGTCGTCCGACGGTTTCACAGGAGCACCGACGACCTCCGTCCCAGGGAAACAGTCAGCGACCACCATCTCTCCCTCTCTCTTTCCACCGGTGTGCACGGGTCGGTTGAACATGGGCAGCGGCGGTTCCTCCTCCTCCAACCCGAGTTTATTTCTTCCATTTCGAGGTGATTCGTTGCTCAAATATCTATCATTAGCGTTAATTCGTAGATTAGGATCTTGTTTGTATTAATCTTGCGATTGATTGTGAAATTGTGTTAATTGATTGTTGGAATTATTGATTTGGATGTTGAAGTGGTTGGGGGTTTGGTTGGGGTTGGATTCTCGGCCAGATTCCGGTGAGTCACGGCGGCGGACCGCCAGTAGTGGCCAGGGACGGGGTGGACAGGTTCAATTTGGACCCAATTGGGTCAATTTGGGTCCAATGGTTTTTTGGTGTCCTTCAGTTTTTTTTAGTACAGTGCACAACATGTTTTTTTAAAGGGAAAGTATAATTGGAAGTCAAAGTGCAAAAATTCAATCTCTTAAAAATGAACAATAGTCAAAGCGGGAAGATTAATATAGGATGGAGGGAGTATAATTATGACAAATGTATAAGCACATTATACAAAACACTTCATAATATCTATCGTGAATCATTCCAATTTTATCGGATGTCCAGCAAGGGACAATATCTATCGCACACATATAAAAATGCACATCCACTCTCATAGTGTGATTTACCTAACGAATACCTCTTGTGTGCAACTGCACCTTTTTGAAGCAATTCATTCTTCATAGCCGAAGATCATTTAACACTTCAATTTCTCAATCCCTATACACCATTTAGGGATTGGGGAGTAGATAATTGTATTTCGGCGGGTGAGTTATTAAAGATGATTTCTGCTTCTTCAAGTTCACTATGTCTGCCGGCGACATCTGTGGCCGGAAAGGGGATTGATTTCCGGTCTGGGCCTATTGGATCTCTAGTCCCCAGCAGCTTCCGCTTATCAGCCACATGGGCGTCTAGGAGGTCCGTTATTCGATCGGATTTGGACTCCATGGTATCAGACATGACTACCAATGGTAAATTTCCTCTGGGAGTTGAATACAAAATATTGCTTTCGCCTTTTCTTATACTCTTGAAAGTTTTTTTTCCCAAATTCATTTCACTTTAGACCAATAGTAGTGTTAGCGCTCAGTACTTGATGAACTATGTTATGAGAAGGCCATATGAACACTTTAAGATTGTCTAAGGTCACATATTCATCAAACATTAGAAAATCTTCATATTTAACAGAATTATGCCGCAATAACTCCAAATTTGACACCATGAGGATCATATTTTACATAATTATGCTACAATAACTCCAAATTTGCCAAAGCGTTTGCTCGTCAATCTTGTTGAGCTTCCCAGCACCTAGTCATTTCCATATCTTTATTCTCTCACTGGATGTAGGTATAAGATTCTCATAACAGAATTCATCAAGTACTAATCGGAATATGATCTTCAGTTTTATCAGGTAGGTGTAGGTCTCTAGGCAAAATGATACTCCCTCCGTCCAACAATAAACTTCCCAGTTACTATTACAGCTTCTCGATAACTTATATATGTTTGCATATTTTCATCAATCATTTGATAATCTAAAATATTCTTATCATATCTTGTTTTGTAGAATTTTGATGTAGTTTTGAATAATTTGTACGGAGTACTTTTTTATGATAAATCAATTTGTAAAAAAAGTAATTTTAAAAAAGATGGGATTTTGCACGTTGTTCAATATGGGAAGTTTATTGTTGGACGGAAGTAGTGTTAAGCAAGTGCTTCAAATTCTAGTATGAAATTTTATGGAAATCAATCTCAATTGCTGGCCAAACCAAATAACATTAGGATAGCAAATTGTAGGTGATGATGAGGGTTAGGGGGTAGGAACTGGCAATTTTATGAAAGGAGCATTGTAAGTGCTCCAGTTGAATGGGTGCCGCAATGTTACACCACTAAAAGTGGTGTAATATTAAAGGCTCCAATATATATATATGTGTGTGTGTGTGTGTATCACTACAAATATGTTTTTATGAAAAAGTTATATTTATAGAGAAAATATGGGAGCACATAATTTTTCCAAATAGGCTAGCAAGAACAATTTTCCTTTCTCAATGTAATTCACTTTCAACTATTCCCCTTTCTGTTAAGGGAGCCATTATCGCAGATGTAAGCCTTCCTTTCCTGCGTCATCAAATCAATAAAAATTTCCTCTTTTATTAATATATGTGTATATATACACACCCACACATGTGTCTTTGTGTGTGTGTGTGTGTGTATATATATATACACACACACAACATCATTACCACAGTGCTTCGAAGGTTCCCGCCCATTATGGGGTAAGGGGGGGTTGGATGTACGCAGCCTGACCTATGTTAAAGCATAGAGTGGTTGTTTCTAGATGACCCATGATGAGTGCAGAAAGTTGCATAGACTGACTTTTACTCCACTATCAAAAAAAGTCTAAGTAGTTTAAGAGTCATTTTGCTTTATTCTATTTTACTCCAAAGCCAAAAAGTAGTGAATATTTTGGCTCCATCCGAGATTTTATGTACTTTCAGCAATGATTTTTTTAAATCAATTCATAGATTTTTTCTACTCTTCATTTATGACTAAGGGCCTGTTCTTTTCGTCCGATCTCATTGGTTCTGATCTAAATTTATTAAGCTCTAATCTGCTCTAATCCGGTTCTAGTTAAAATTAAAGTTGTTTTTGATCAAATAAGAATAAGTAATATAAGAGAAGTTACCACGGCGAGGAAAATCCTCACGCGTGGAACTCTTTTGGGCGAGAAAACACCTCAGCAGCGCAGAAGGGATAAAAGGCACGTGAGAAAAAAAATTGGTATGCATATGGTGGAACTTTTTTGATTTCCTCGCATGTTGTGGCTTGATTTGATTGGCCAGGAGAGATGTAAGTTCTGTTTTCTTTTTTTCCTCACGGCTGGAGAACCAAAAAAAATTCCACAAAAAGAAAAAGATGAGGTGTAGGAGAGATAAAGTTAGAGAGAGATTGGTGAGGAATTTTTTTCCCTCACCATTGAGAATGCTCTAAGAATAAGTTGAATAGAACATGCTCTTAAAACATGTAAATAAAGCTTTATTTAACTTTCTTATCCAATATATTCTCAATGATTGTTCATTTTCAGCTCCAAAAGGCCTATTTCCACCTGAACCCGAGCACTATCGAGGACCAAAGTTGAAAGTGGCAATCGTAGGAGCTGGTCTTGCAGGAATGTCAACTGCAGTTGAGCTTTTGGATCAAGGACATGAGGTTATGACCTAGTATTTTTTATGGATCCCCAACTGAACAATAAACATGGCAGATGACAAGCTTATTATCATAGACTCACAGCCCTCTGTCCCAAAAAACACTTCCCACTTTCCTTTTTGGACGTCCCAAAAAATACTTCCCACTTATTTTATTTTGTTTTAAAGTAATGATGATGTGGCTCACATGATATCACTCTCATCTAAACAAATTCCAACCTGGTAATGTTTTTTTGGGCTTCTAACTTTTAAAGTACTAGACTATCCGTCCCAAAATAAACATCATACTTTCCTGTTTGGTCCGTTCCAAAATAAATACCCTTTTTCTTTTTTTGGTAAGTAATATGTGGCTATATTATCTTTCTCTGTTTTAAATTAATTCCAATCACACACTTTTACTTTTCAACATTTATCATAAACTTTGTGTTCGGTCAAATTTGACTTTTAATTTAACTGGGTTGTTGTTGTTGTAATTTGGGATGTAGGGAGTGCTTCTTATTCATGCACACTATGTTGAATTTAGTAGATTTCTTTTTAGAATTTTAGAATCACGTTTAATTTTATATCTCTATGCAGGTAGATATTTATGAATCTAGGCCTTTTGTTGGCGGGAAAGTGGGGTCTTTTGTTGACAAGCGTGGCAATCACATTGAAATGGGATTGCATGTATTTTTTGGTTGCTACAATAACCTATTTCGGTTGATGAAAAAGGTGAACATAAATGCATTTATAGTTTTACATCCATATATATTTTGATTAATGTAAAAAGTTTTCTCTCCGTTTTTCCAAAACTTATGCTATATTCCTGTTAATTTTATATTATGTATTAGATGTCTTTTGTTAGCTCAATGCCGATTATTTACATTTGACAAATGTAGTTCTTTTCCTTTGGTAAAATGATAAGGCTCTACCTCCCTCATGAATCATGATGCTTGAATCCTGATACCTACGTACGATACTAGCCTAGTGTGTGCATGTATGTATTCGATGTCAGTGCAAGAATGTAAAAAAACTACAACTGGATTCATAAAATGACAGAACTCAGAACTAGGTTACTCACTATTTCAAGTGCGTCTAGCACTAGGTAACTCACTATTTAGAGCAAGGGCTCATGCTCTTCACCTGATTTGGTTGATTATGGTCAGATTGGAATAAGCTCTGATTTGACCTGACTATATTTAAAGCTCTAATGTGATCTGAACTAATTCCAATAAGAATAAGCAGTAAGTAATAAGAATAGGTTGAAGAGAACATGCTCTAAGTCTAATTTGCTTTATGGTATACAAAGTTTGTTGCACATGGGTTTTGTTTTCTCTACAAAAGAAATAACTATCCTACATATTACTAAAATGTAGCTACTTTCTCTAATTATGACCATCATGTTTTAATTCCTAAACATATGCTGATTTGGTTTTTTTAAAAAAAAGAAAACCATGAATTTGTTAATCATTTATATCCAGGCAGTAATATGTCACTAACTAACCATAACCCTACTCTTCAATCATTCTCGCTCTTCTGTCAATAGTCACTTCTCTTTTTATACCCTTAATGACTTCTCCAACTCTACTTTCCTCAACCCCACCGTCTTCTTTAAATAGTTAATGGTCAATTCCAATGCCGTAAGTTTGTCCAGTCTTTCATGAAGAAGATTTAGACAAAATTCTATCACAGTACTTCATATTTAACAAACCTAGTGGCCATGACTGCTTTCTGTCTTTTTTTACTTCGGTCTCACACTGTCTTTCGGTCAATTTCATGGGGGGCTATGGTATTACTCAACAAATAGAATGGCCACGACTCCTTCGTGCCCTCATTTGCTTTGATTTCCCACATACTAACTTTGCCACTGCTATTTGATCTTTTTGCTATTCTTTCATGACACATTGGTTTTGAAGTAGTGGACAATGAATGGTTATGAATGACAGAAAAGTCATTAGGGTCATGTTTATGGGCAGTGAGAATAGACCCGTTTGCTGATGATAGCAAGGCTTGAGGGTGGACAGTGAAGAATGCGATGTTGGATAGTGAAGAATGAAGATGATGACATTGAGCAGAAAAGGTGGTGACTATGGGCAATGATGGCAGCAATGTTGGGCAGTGATGATAATGGTGATAGGAATTGTGGCCGAAGGGGGTTCCATTCAAGGGGGTTGTTTAGTTTTTGGTGTTTTAGTGTGAATTTGGGGTGTTTAGTCGCAATACTTCTTTTTAGTGTAGGTTCCAGCGGCCGTATTTAGGGAAACCCCTAATTGTTTAGTCATATTTAGGTAACTTTATGTTCTTCAAAGTTATTTACTCAGTGCAATTTTGATACTTATAATGTCCATTCTTCCTTGTGTATGATAGGTGGGTGCTGAAAAAAATCTACTAATCAAGGATCATACTCACACCTTCGTGAATAAAGGGGGTGACATTGGGGGTAGGATATTTTTTTATTTTTCAGTTCAGTGGTTTAATCTTCCAAATTCTTTAATATCTTTGTGGATTATTCTCTCTTCTTCATGGTACCACAATTGGTCCGTACAACTTAATCTACAATCTGTTCTTGACTACAGAACTTGATTTCCGCTTTCCTATTGGAGCCCCGCTGCATGGTATTTCAGCATTTTTGTCCACAAATCAGCTGAAGGTAGTGAGGCTTTGTATGCTTGTTAACATGCGCTGTTGTGCTAAATATAAATCTTTATTTTGTTGACTTGATCGTGTTAAGGATGTGGTGAGGAACAAAGATGATGGATAAAAGCTGTAAAAATAAAGAACTATTTGCCCTTGGCAGAGTAGGTTCATGCTTGGCCTAGCTGAAGACACTCATGAATTAACTCCACAACTATTAATGATTTTGTTAATGAATGTAACACCTCTATTTATCCTAGGTCCCACAAGTCTTGGTGAGCAAGTTAATAGAGTCTTAATCCAATACGGAGTACAATATTGCTATTAGGAAGATTAACTAAAACAGACTACTTATACTAATTGGAAACTATTACTAACAATACTAATACAAACTAATAACTAAGAATAGTAATACTACTCCCTCCGTCCCTAAATAAACTTTCTATTACTAATAGTCTAATACAGCCTCTCCATATCTTTTTTTATTTGTGTTTTTTCTTTGATCATTGATAAAATAAAATATTTTTGTCACATCTTGTTTTGTACAACCCCTATAGAATCCTGCAACCTCTGGGAGGGTGTGTATAATTTATATAATTTATACTTTTTGAACTGTTCTGTATGAACCTTTAATTTTTATATCAATTTGTGAATACATTCATTTTAAAAAAGATGTGATTTTGCATGTTGTTTGAACTTTGAAGTAGGAAGTTTATTTGGAGACAAAGGGAGTGTATTGTAATAAAGTTAATAGTACTAAAAAGATAGTAATAGGAACATACATGTTACTCCCTCCGTCCCACAAAACATTTCTTCTTTTGAACTTTAAGGGATTTAAGAGGAGTATATTTTGGTGTTGACTTTCCAAAAATTCCCTTGGATGTGATAGGTAAAAGTAGATGTGATGGGTAGATTAGTAGTGAAAAAGTGTGATGTGATAGGTAGGTTAAGAATTAGTAGGGGTAAAAGTGACTTTTTAATAGAGATAAGAAAAGTTTTTGGGACAGATGAAAAAAGAAAGGAGAAAGGTTTTGTGGGACGGAGGGAGTATAATAATAATAATATTAGCATTATTATTACGGAGTATTATTATTATATCTCCATCTCAGATTGATGCTATTATTGCATTCCAACTTCGTTGTCAATGTGTTATGTATCCAAATACTGCCTAACAATTTCTTTTAGTTTTGAAAGAGCCAAGTAGGTAAATTAAATTTTATAATGTTATCTTCATTCCACTACCTTACTATGCAACTCAACTGTTCTATATATTTCTGTTCCTACTTTTTACACTTTATGTGAATTTAGAATCATTTTCTTTGCTCTCCTAATGTCTTCTCACCTTCATTGACAGCCTTATGATAAAGCGAGAAATGCTGTAGCACTTGCCCTTAGTCCTGTAGTTCGAGCTCTAGTGGATCCAAATGGGGCAATGAAGGACATTCGTGATTTAGATGGAGTATGATCACCTTTATGCATTTGTTAGTCTTAATTGCAAGTGATGTACTTTCTGCAACTTGCTACTGATAATTCTGGCATATTACTTTCAGCTGAGCTTCTCTAACTGGTTTATGTCTAAAGGGGGAACACGTGCAAGTATCCAGCGGATGTGGGATCCTGTTGCCTATGCTCTAGGGTTCATTGATTGTGATAATATTAGTGCTCGATGTATGCTTACTATTTTTGCGTTATTTGCCACCAAGACAGAGGCTTCCCTCTTGCGGATGCTCAAAGGTTCTCCAGATCCATATTTGAGTGGTCCTATCAGAAAGTATATTGAGGATAAAGGAGGCAGGTAAAGTTGCACTTCCAAAACATACCTCAAATATATACTCTAATTAAAGTAAACATCATAATTTTAGTGTTTAGTTAGAGTGAAAATGGTTGTGTGTGTGTGTGGGGGGGGGGGGGTGAGGAGGGGATGCACTGAGGGAATCTATAGAAGGTAGGGTGATGCATGTTTTGTAAGTGAATATCAAAGTACAAGGAAACCTCCAGGATAGCCACAATCCAAGCAGATTATGATGCAAAAAATATCAAATTAAAGGGAGAAAGACTAAAATAGGAGTAAAACATACGGAAAGAACCAACATAGGATGTTTATGTTTTATCCCCAAAATAGGACCTATAATGCCAATACTACCAACGTATAATACCACAAAACGTTGTGGAATGCCAATATACAGTGTCACATTGTCTTACTTTGGGGATAAAAACATTTCATTCCTATTTTAGGGATAAGGGCTATGTTTTGCTCCTAGTTTGAGCGATTTCTTTAAAGTAAACATATTTAATTTCAGTTTGGTGATTTAGGCCATGTTCTCTTCACCTGAACTAAATGGTTCTGATTTGATTGGAATAAGATTTGATATGAATGTTGTTATATTTAAAACTATTTCTGATCTAATCTGGTTCCAATAAGAAAAAGTAATAAGTAATAAGAATAAGTCGAAGAGAACATGGCCTTAGTTGATACAAATTAGTAGATAGATAGTTATTTGGTCAAATAGATAGTCTTAAACTCTTAAATATTGGATGCGTCTTGCATTTGTCAATTGTAAATGGTAGAATTACTTGGAAGAAAGACAAGCTGATATCCGTAGTAAAAACCTATTGACTTTTTGTGTCTACTTTCTACAAAGCTCAACCTTCTGCACTATCTTTGATTGGTTTCCCCTTCCATTTTTCCCATAATTGGATCTTACATTCACTAGACCATAACATTTCGTTCTATTGCTTGCATCATGAATGATGTTCTCATGAATTACCCAAAATTTATATCTCTAGCAGGCTCCATTAATGAACTTTAGAAACTTGTTACCATGCTGATTCAAGACCCCGTGAAAAAAACACACCACTCTCTGCTCAACCTCTATCTTTGTCACCCTGCATTAATTGGCTGCATGGGTATGAAATCTATTCCTGGCTTCCTGCAACTCGCTATTCCCAACATGAAAAAGGTTTGGCAAGCAGCTTTCAATATGGCACCAAGCTGCAATTCCACCCTGGGCAACCAAATCACAACTCATGCAGTCATTAGTGCTTCACTTTTAGTGTATATCGTTACGTTGTTTCCTTATTGTTACCTACTTAGTTTATTTTTATTCCTTCGGTCTTTTTGAGCTGAGCTTCTATCAGAAACTACCTCTTTTCCCTTCGCATACATCTTACCCTCCCCAAATCTCACTTTTGTAATCGCACTGGGCTTATTGTTGTTGTTTTTATATTAGATTGACAATTCTCAGTTATATGATTTGGCTTAGGAGTGTTGTATTTGCCAATAATAAATGTGAGAATTAGTTGGATTAAAAGACAACCAGGAACTCAAATATAAAGCCCAAGAAGTTTTGGGTCTCAAGAAATTCAACCTTTTGCATTATCTTTACTCATCCTTCCTTTCCCTTTATTCCCACAACAACATGTTATATTCAATAACCCATAATGTGGGGTAAGGGATCATTATATGTGTATGATGGATGAAATAAACTCACAAGTCAATCGGATGCCCGGATGCCCCTAAGGTAGCTTTTTGAATGCCTCAAAACCTGGAATGCATACATTAGTTCTTCATAAAATTTCCCAAACTAAACTACACAAAGCCCCTGTTTGTTATTTCCATCAATGCTTAGCTTTATTGTTTTGGAAAAGCTATCTGAGGGTAGCCTTTAGGTTTACTGTTTTTAAACGTTGATCTTAAGTCTTAACTATGAAAACTCATCCAAAATTCCAATGCTAATTAGAAGTTCAATTCTTGAATGGACCCAAAGGATATATATCATCGATTTATCTCACTACAGGCCTTTCAGTCTTCCATGCTTCCTAATGTTGTGTGGCTAAAGTACTACCACAGTGATTATTGTATATTTACAAAAATATAGTCATTGTCCCTTCTGCTCATTAATAAATTATTTTCCATATAACTTTGTCCTACAGGTTCCATCTGAAGTGGGGATGTAGAGAGATGCATTATGAGAGATTTTCGGATGGAAGCACATATATTACTGGCCTTACCATGTCAAAGGTTGATTGCTTTTTTCAAATTTCTTTGTTATCTTTGATTTTTTATTCATTTTAAACACTAACCCTACATGTTGTCTAAGCCCCATTATGTATAACCCTAATGGGCTAATGCTAACACTAGTTATATGTAAGTATGGGGAATTATGTATCGGGTTTAGACGCAATTAGTATAAAGAAATTTTCTCTTGTAGTGATTGAATTTATGTTTGCACTATGCCGATGAGTGCCGGTACCTGTACTCTAGTCAAGGTTGCTACTATATAAAATAAATATGACTTGACTAAATTTTATTGTTTAGCTATTGTAACCGTAGGCCTAATCATAAATGCTATCCTAATGGACATACACCAAAAGGAGTAAGGCTTAGAACCTCCCGAACCCTAGGTTATAAATATAAATAGGAATGGAATGTAGTCAAGAGATAATCAATATCTTGTAAAAATAAAGTTTTCCTCTCTCTATGTACATGGTATCGGAGCAATAAGAGTATTCTGCAGAAATTTGAATTTTTTTTCTAAAAATTCGTCCTCAAGTCCTTAATTTCAAAAGGCAGGGTTTCTGCCATTGAGAATCTTTATCACTTTACCATCAAACTTGACACCATCTTACTCGGTGGTTCGCGTTCCAGGACCATGTCAATTGAAAAGTCTGCCACAGTGCCACCTAGAAGTGCCAGACGTGAGACACCCACCCCAACAGAGGCTCATTCACTCGTGTGTGTGACACACCTCTGCTGGCTTGAACACAATTCTGTCAGCGGTGCTTGTTTACTTGAAAACATACATTTTCTTAGTATACTCTGTTTTCAACCCCATTGGATAGGTTTTATACTTTTATTGCTCAGTTCTTCGTTCTCCCTCTTTTCCGTGACTTCTATGACCAACCCTTCTTGCAGTCAAACCATTTGTCATACTCAGTCAAAATATTCACTCCGCGGCATCTTTTTTGCTTCTCTATTCCTTTGTCGGGGATTGTCAGATTCCGTATTAGCTACTCGATCTCATCAGTTGCATTTATCATTCCAACTCCTAATTAGAGACAGACCCTTCATTTACTATTGAATGAGATCTTCCATGAAAGTGTCTTCAGTTAGGTTTAAGTTTAACTTTGCTTTTCTTATTATTATATAAGTCCTTGCCTTGCCTCAATTTGTTCTGGTTTGTTATGACTATGACGATGCATAGTTGCACATATGGTTGCTTCAACTGACACGTCTGCAAAAACAATTTCAGTACTAATGTCCCATTAGATGACTATACTTATATTGTGAAATACAAAGTATGTGTTGCTTTCATGACCTCACAACTACTGCTGATTCAGATAATGCAAAACATGTCTCTTATCATCCTCTTCTAAATGAGTCATTGGTTCTGGAGCAATAGAACATATGAGTGGTAACTCAAATTTTTTCTCATGATCGTGACGAAGCACTAATTTGGCCAGCGACCCTTCCTGGATTTCACAATGGCTATCTCAACTGCTTACAATGAGAATTTACGACCATTCTTGTGTGCTTCACCTAAGGATTTCTCTGGCTATCCTCAACCGTCTACCCAATGATTTGTTTGGCTATCCTTAACCATTACAAGTATAATCTATACAGCTATTGTCGAATGTGTACAAGATGGACATTTGAAGAACCACTAAACACTGCTTCTAAGTAAAGAAGTATATGGAATTGGGTTGGTGTGAGAACTTCGATACTCTATATTAAAAATGTCCTATGCAAAGTTTGACTGCACATGTATATGCACAAGCACAAAGTGTGTGTTCAAATCATATACTCCATCAGCCCCACTATTTTTGTCTCACCAACTATTCACATGGTCAAAAGACAATCTTATTTGTACGGAGTAATTGAGAGGACTATGAATAGCAGTTTTCTTTTCACCTCGGGTCAGTTATGTGATGAGTGGGTTTATTGGTCATATTTCCCAACATTGTGGTGTTTCATTTTGTTTAGGTGAAATTTCACCTCTGGTTCCCCAAGTACACTTGTGTAATTTTGGTTCCAATGTTCTAAATGTGCAAATTAGGTCTTCCAAGTATTGCAATTGTATAATTTTGTCTTATGATCAGTTTTCCATTAAAGTTTCGATAGATTTGTTGATGTGGCACAAGATGATGACGTGACATCTTCCGTCTGGCCTAGCACATGCTGGAATGGCCCAATTGCACTTTTGTCAATTGCCCCTCAAAGGTGCTTTGCCTTAGCAGCATGTTAGCAGTCACATTATCAATAGATCATCATCTTGTGCACTACGAGAAAAATATATTAAATAATTAACAAAAGACTGATGGAGGCACTAGAATGGCTCGATGCGCTCATTTGGGACCCCAAAACACTCACAATTACAATGCCACAGGGATAAAAAGTGCAATCTTGCCTTTTGTTTATCATGTGCTTAGGTTTACTCCCTTTTACCTAAATAGCATGTGCGGTGATTGTGATAAATAGCTTGATGCAGGCGACTCAGAAGAAAATAATTAAAGCTGATGCGTACGTTGCAGGTGTGTATTTAATGGTGACCTGAGAATTACTCCCCTTGTCCCCTTTCAAACCTTCCCACTTTTCTTTTTGAGCTGATCCCAAAATAATTTTCATGTTTCCTTTAAACATATGTATGGTTCATATTGTTCTCAATCCTTTTTTAATGCATCTCATTTTTTAATATAAATCATCTTTTTAATATAAACTTTTGCCAAAACAACCATATGCATTCCTTTTTTTAAACCATTTTTTACAAAATAGTTTTTATGTTCCCTTTTCTCTCCATTCCCCTGTGAAGCCAAAGATTCACTATTTTTCGGCTTTAGGATATGATGGAATAAAACAAATTGGCTCTCTAAACTGTCTGCGCTCCATGGAATTGTGAAGTAGTAGTTGGTCAATGCAACTTTCGACGCTCATCATGCGTCATGTAGAAACAGCCGCTCTATGTTTTAAACATAGGGGTCAGACTGCTTACATCCGACCCCCCCTTACCTTGCAATGGGCGGGAGCCGTTGAGGCACTGGGATAATGTTGTTGTTGTATTTTTTATGTTCCCTTTTCTTTTAAAAAACCATCTTTTAATTTGAATGTGCTAAAATGTTCATCTTGTTGCAGCATGTGATGTGCCTGGAATAAAGAGAATAGTTCCCCAAGGTTGGAGAGAGTGGGAATTCTTTGATAATATTTACAAGTTGGTTGGAGTGCCGGTTGTTACAGTACAACTTAGATACAATGGCTGGGTTACAGAGTTAATGGATTGGGAGCTTTCAAGGTAAGCTTGTCTTTAGGAGAAGTAAAGTGTGTTCGGATAACCTTCATGTGAATCATGTGAATGGGAGTTGGTCTGATTGCGTGTAATTACTTTTGGCCTTGTTTGGTTGGCGATGCAATGACAAAAGTCAACGTACTCGGTGTAATTGGAGGGGTCCAATCAAAGTGAGGTTGTGTACATATGATTCCCCTTTGCCTTGCAATGGGCGGGATCCTTTGAGGCACTGGGGTAATGTTGTTGTTGTTGTTTGTATTACTAATTGAATGATTATCCCTTATCCCATTAGGTGGAGTCGGCTACATGGATCAAACGATGCCATTGCGCCCTGTCATGTATCATATCTCTACCGAGATCATTCGCGTGTAGATTATCCTTAACCACTTGGTGCTAAGTTTTCTTAGGCTTACCCCTCCCTCTAGCCACATGTTTTTTTCATTTAATCCACCGTTCTCATTGAATGCTCTATAGGTCTTCTTTCCACATGTCCTAACCACCTAAGACGTGCTTCCACTAGCTTTCCAATGATAGGTGCCACTCCAACTTTTACTCTCTTATCTTCATTCCTTATTTCTATCCATGCGTGTATGACCATTCATCCACTAGATCATATTCATTTTGGCCACACTAACCTTGTGTTCGTGTTCACCTTTTGCTGTCCAACAGTGTGTTCTATACAATTTGATTTGTCTAATTGCAGTACGATAAAACTTTCCCTTGAGTTTTAAAGGTAATATTTTGTCGCATGCAAGGCCCCACGCACTCCGCCATTCTGACGTGCTTGAATCATTTACATCATCCTCTAAATAATAACAATAATAAATAAATTACTCTCTCCATCCCACAATGATTTACACTCTTCACTATTCAAAAATCACGGGAAGTTTTGTTTAATTGTGTATTTTCATTGATTATTTGATGAAATAAAATATTCTTGTCACAATTTGTTTTGTAGAATTTTTTATGCACTTTTTAATTATGCAAGTCTTATTTTTTATTTCTATACCAATCTTTAAATAAAATGAATTGAAAAAACTTGGAATTTTACTTCGTTTTGCGTAAAGCATAATTCATTTAGGGATGAAGGGAGTAAAATAATACTCCGTATTGTTTTATTTAACAGGAAACAACCTCTCTACTCTAAACCTCTCTAGTTTCGAGTAGGGTAAGGTTTACGCACACACATACCTTCCCCAGACCATACTTTCGTATGGTTCTATTGGGTTTGTTGTTATTTTAATTATTTTCAAGAAAATCATTTATTAGATCTTTTTACGTTGTACAAAAATATTTTAGGATTGATGCATGCTATGCAGTTACAAAAGGTTTTTTAATAATCGTGGAATTTATCTGTTAATGTTAAAAGATGTGGAAAGCAAGAGCCATTAGATTAGTTTTCTTATCAGTTTATTATTTTACAATGTGAACATCTTATTTAGCTGAATTGTATGCTTTAACTTTTATTTATTTTATTCATATTATCATCCATCAAATGGATTAACAGAAATTGTTTATTATTATAAAATAAAATAGATATAAATACAGAATTAGGGGCTGTTTGTTTCAGCCTCTTAATGGTTCAGATGTCTGACCAGCACTTAATAATTCAGACTGTTTGTTTCAGCCTCTTAATGGTTCAGATGTCTGAATGGTTAAGAGATTTGCCTCTGAATGGTTAAGTATTATACAGAGTCTGAATGGTTAAGACCTCTTATCTGAATTGATCAGACATTTGCCTCTAAATAGTTAAGCAATATACTAGCTCTTAATGGTTCAGACCTCTTACTGGTTCAGCACTTAATTGTTCAGATTTCTTACTGGTTCAGCATTTACCTATTCAGAAGTTGCCAAACAGCCCCTTACACTCTTGTATAACCAAACAGCAACACTATAATAAGTGTAAATATATTTCGATCACCGAACACTACATGTAATTACACAACTATGTAGTAATTACTGGCCTAGAAATTACATATGAAGTATTTACCCACTGTTATTCTGAGTTCTCTTATTGTTTCTCTTGTTCATTGAAGTTTGGCTCATTAGCATTATTATTCTCTTCACACAAAAAATAATGTTGGATTGATGTTCCCATTCAGGCAATTGAAGCGGGGTGCCGGTTTGGATAATCTCCTTTACACGCCGGATGCAGATTTTTCTTGCTTTGCAGACCTTGCACTGACTTCTCCTGAGAACTATTACCTTGAGGGTCAAGGGTCATTGCTCCAGTAAGGACTGAGGACTACTTGTTGAATTATAATTGCCTATACCTTTTTGTCTGACCCTCCTTATGTCCTTTTGCTCATTTCATTCCATCTAGATGCGTCCTTACCCCCGGAGATCCATACATGCCGCTACCAAATGATGAAATTATAAGAAGAGTGTCGAAACAGGTGTTCATTATTTTTTTTAGCCGCGCGCTACTACTCCTAGTATATGTATTACTATATTTTGGGGGTATCAAACCATTCATCTTCCTTTGAATAATCGGTTCCTGGACTGTTAGGTTTTGGCCCTTTTCCCCTCCTCCCAAGGTTTGCAAGTGACTTGGTCGTCCGTTGTCAAAATTGGGCAATCTTTATACCGCGAAGGGCCTGGCAAAGACCCATTCAGACCTGATCAGAAAACACCAGTGAAAAACTTCTTCCTTGCTGGGTCATATACGAAACAGGTAAGTTAAAATCATTTTGTTTTGTTTTTTTTGCTGCGCACAAAAAATTCTTTCTCCGTTCTAAAACATGCCGTGTTTCAACAGGATTACATAGATAGCATGGAAGGAGCTACTCTATCTGGCAGACAGGCTTCGGCCTATATATGTGAAGCCGGAGAAGAGCTGGTGACGCTGAGGAAACAGCTTGTTGCCATGGCTGATTCATCAAACGCATTCAAAGCTTCTCCTTTATCTGATGAACCAACTCTCATCTCCTCTGCCTAATCTAAGCATTACGACCCAGACAAAATATGTACCAACAGGTTGGCCTTAACATGAACGCCATACTCAGCTCCTCCTTTCTATGGTTATTATAGTTTGGGTTCTTTACTTGATGATAGTGATGATGGGAAGGCGGTAAATAAACAAAGAAGGGTGGGTGGTGATGGTTACTAATTAATCACCTCATATGAATCCCAGCGTCATGCGTGCACGCACGCACAGCCATTCGTTCCACTCAAATTATGTTGCAAAACCAAGCTCAATCCTCCATCCGTTCCAATTTAAGTCGCCTTTCTTTACGAGGTTTGATGGATAATATATTGAATTCGATTTTTTTGAAAGTTGGTATAAAATGAAAAAATAAAATTTACTATACATTTAAAACTACATCAAAAGTTTTAGAAAATGAGAAGTGACAATAATATATATTATTTTTATCAAATGGGTAGTAAAAAATAAATAAAGACGTGATTAAAGTTACTATGTGAATAGTAAATATGTAATATGCTCAATTTGTTCTTGTATCTGATGTTTTTTTCTTCTTTTTTGACCTGCCACGACATTCCATGCGTAGGGCATGTCCAATGGTGGGGACTCTATTAGATCCTAAGATAAGTTCACTCTCTTGTCATCTCAAAAAAGTGGGGAAGAAGAAATTTTCACTCCAATGTCTTGTCCCTCTATTCCGTGTCCAATAACTTAAATTAAATTAAAACAAAAGATTAACCAAAGAACATGTAAAAAAGCTATGCAAAGAAGTTTTATTTTTTTTTTTAAAAAAAAAGAGGAGTTGAGACAACCCTTCTCTCAGGAGCCAGTGCCATTTTTTCCTAATGCAAAGTAGGAGCCTGTGGGCTATGGGACTCCGCGTAGAAGAGAGAAATGATGTTGGGACTACCGTTGGACTAAAGGCATGTCCAACGTCTGGTCCCTCTTCTTTGTCTTCCGTCTTCACACTTCATATTCTCTTTTAGAATACGAAGCCAAAGAATGAGTTGCTCCATGTTCATCTCAGTTTGAGGTGGCTCTAGAATTCCTTCAATGACAGTGAGAGCATGGAATCATGGATGGCCTCAATCACTCACATACATGATCTGCATGTATATTTCACCTTGTAGAATCCTGTTTGTGTTTGTGTGCTGCTATCTCCTGTTTTGTTCTAACATCCAAATTGATTTGAGGGAGGTGTCCATTATGTTTTTTTTAGATCCAAATTGATACATGCCTCTGCTCTATATATCATGCGTATTTTTTTTCTTTTTCTTCCTCTTTCTCTGAAATTGAAGATCCAAAGTGATTATACCACTGTGAGTTACTGACTTTTTCTTAAAGCACACCCAAATTTAATACTCTTTTATAATTTGAGGATGTTTTTTTCGTTTATAAGATGTTTAAGCAATTGCGTGCCATCTAAATATTGTGTGCATCTAAAAAGGTAGAACCAACAGATGTGTATAAAATGAAAAAATGTGAGAATTTTATGGTAACTGTCTTCTCACCCTGACAAAAAAAGAGTCCAACCTCCCGAGAGACTCGCTTGAGTTACACTATCAACGTTAAGCTTAACGGTGCTTAACAAGCCTGTACAACTTGAGAGTTTGAGTTACACGAACCTGAACGAACCTTCGAAGGAATAATTTGTGGGATTTAATTTAAAATGGGATCTGCTGAAAATAGGCTTAACATTGATGTTCAAATGCTGAACGCTCTTGAGGCTTAAACTTTCAAACTGGAAGCTTCAACAGTTACCTCAACAACGATTTTTGAGATTGTGAATATCGTTGTTCAAGGTGTTGACTTCCAAACATGGGAAATTTCAGCCTTTAATATCTTCCAGCGATGAAGTGCCAACATCGATGTTCACAAGTGAACATTGCTGTTGCGGCTTAACCTTCCAAGAAAGAATTTAGCCTAACATCAATGTTGCTGGGCTAACATCGCTGTTCAAAAACCATATGCTAAAGCTCATTTTTCTCAGCTTGAGCTGAACATCGATGTAGACAACAATGTTGCTGGCTAACATCGCTGTTCAAAAACAATATGCTAAAGCTCATTTTCCTCAGCTTGAGCTAAACATCGATGTAGAGACTCCTACATCGCTGTTCAAAAAACTTCTGGAATGTTAGGCTTGGCTCAACAGCGATGTACAAAGTCCAACATCGTTGTTGGAGGACTTAGTGCTAAACCATGGTTTTCAGGTGCCAACACCAAATAACGTTGTGGGCATGTCCAACATCGCTGTTGGGCTGGTTTGCCAGAACCATGGCTAGCCAGTCAACGCCGAAAGCCGATGTCAAAAAAAAGTTCTTCAATTTAAAAACCAAATGTTGAAAACACTTCTTTAAGGTATTTGACTAAGTTTTTACATTTTATGGTGTAAACTAGGTACGTATAAATTCATCCCGACTCGTACCGAAACCGACACCGAACCATCCTCAACCATACCGAACCAATGCTTCGGGATCGGGATCGGTACAACGTAAAATCTCATTTTGAACTGAAATATTTGGTACGGTATCGATACGAGCTAAATACCGTATCATATGGTGGACGAGTAAGGTGGCAAAGAAGACTGCTCCAAGAGGATTACGCGCATGGACCTTCAAGACAGGCGGGTGCCCTTATGGCCGGCCTTGATGATGTTTACCTACAGAATAGCCCTCGTGAGGCCCACTGGCTCCCCATATTAAGGCCCTGTTCCGTTCAACTTATTTTTTCTTATTTTTTCTTATTCTTATTAAAATCAGATCACACCAGATCAAATCAGAATAGATCAGATCAGATCAGATCCAATCAGATCAGATCAGATTAGACCAGATCTAATCAGATCAGATCAAATCTAATCAGATCAAACCAGACCAGATCAGATCCCATAAAGAATTATTATTAATATTGTTATTGTTGTTGTTGTTGTTGTTGTTGTTATTATTATTATTATTCTTTTTCTTCTTCTTCTTCTTCTTCTTCTTCTTAAAAATGAAAAAGAATAAACTTTAGAAACAAGTTAAATAGAAAACTGAGAAATTAATCCTTAATTATTATTTATTAGACGTCGAAAAAATTATTTTTAAAATACATTGACAATGTCAATCTAATTCTACTTTTAAAATACATTTTTATTGCTACCTGTAATTTGAGTTTCTAAAGTTTTGATCTGTTATAAGAATGAGATATTTTAATTAAAATACTATCTCTTCTCTGTATTGATTTATATAAATTAAATATTTATTCTAATGTATGTATGAACTAATTATTAAAATATTAAATCAATATTCTTATTTCACAAACAATTATCATAAAATAAAAAGTATTATTACATTAAAATATTAATGATTATTCTAATATATAAATTAACTAATTTTATTTTATTAAAAAATAATTATAAAATTGATAATATTATAACATGAATTATCATTACAATTTTCAAACCTTATTATAAACTCAAATCAAATTATTGATTTGAATTTTAAATCAAATCATAATTAATCAGATCAGATCCAATCAGATGAGATCAGATCAGATCCAATCAGAACAGATCAGATCAGATCTAATCAGATCAGATCAGATCCAATCAGATCAGATCAGACCAAACCAGATCAGATCAGAACTACAAAAAATCAGATCAGATCAGAAAAAATAAGTTGAACGGAACAGAGCCTAAGTGGAGTTCGACAAAAGTTAGGTGCTTCGAATTCCATTTTCATCCGATTAAATATTCGTCGTGCATTGATCTTTTCATTACGTGATACTACCTCTTAGGTGGCATAGACTCTATCCCTGTTCTGTATGCATGCTATCTTAGCTTCTATTTCGGATTATGGAAATTTCCCACCATAGATGCTTATGGTAAATTTTGATAGTGTATATTATATTTTACTGTACCAAATATTCTCTCTATTTCTTAAAATATTTTCTCTTTTTTTTTCATTTTTTCCTAAACACCTCCATTTGAGTAAAAAATGACTAATATATCTAAATTAGATCGTTGCAATATACTCTATTCCATTTGTATTTTTATATTTGACCATTTAAATGATTTGCCTCTTTTTTATGATACGAATATAATTAGAAGGTCAAACTAAAAAACAAATCTCTCCCAAGTCAATACAAGAATTGTTTTAGGAAATGGAGGAAGTATGTTTTTCAAAGTTACTCCGACCATATCTATTAAATAATATTTTTTTATATTTTATTATTTTTAAAATATTTATTTGTGAGATATTTTTAAAACTTTTATTGTATATGTATTTCAAACTATACATATATTGATTATTTTTATAAGAAACATTAAATATTAATGTATTCTAATAAATATATAGAGTAAATATATTTACAAGGTGGGACTTTCTTTTTACAATATAGTGTTAATTTTTCACTACCTATTCGAGTGGCAATTTTACTAGTTTCTTGTATATGATGTATTTTTTACAGTATACAAGATCCATTGGAGTGGCTCTTAGTAAACAAGGATCTTGGATTTGACCCGTTGTCCATTTATTGGATTCGCCATATCAATTACTATCTCCGTCCCACTGTCTTTGTCCACTTACCTTTTAGCACACCATCTAATGCAGTTCTTTAATCCATTTTATCTTGTAATTTGTATATTAAAAAATTATAGAAATTATATATTAATAATCTATATGTTAAGACGAATCAAACAAGATCACACATGACTATTTTTAGGCTTACACATTGAGAGAATTTGATGAGTCAAAGTGCTTAGATGAACAGTTCCAAAAGTCAAATGTGGACAAAGACAGTGGGACGGAGGTAGTATATACTCTTTCCATCTCAAATTAAATTGCATGTTTATTATTCATATGGTTAAATTTTATTCACTTTCTTTTTCTATTTACATTAATCATTTGATAAAATAATATAGTCATGTCACTACAAATTTTGTAGATCTTTTGTTGTAAAATTTTTATTTTTTAATTCTACGTCATTTTTAATATAAAGTAATTTAAAAATAACTCCAGTCAAACATCTAAATTAAAACAAGTAATTTAAATTGGGACAGAGAGAGTATATCATTAACCATAATCTCAATAATAAATAGTCAAGAAGTAATAATAGTTATTCCCTCGGTTTCAAATTAAGTTATTTGTTTATTATTCACCATGTCAAATTTTATTCATTTTTTCTCTATTTTTGTTCTCATTTAATAAAATAAAATAGTTATGTCACCTTTTATTTCATAGAGTTTTTTATGTGTACTTTTAATATGTTAATTTTATTTTTAATTCTCTAATTTTTAAATAAATTATATTGAAAAAAACTTCAGTCAAACATCGTAATTCAAAATAGGCAATTTAAATTTGTACAAAGAGAGTACTATTTCAGTTATTTTTCAGTTAAGAATGTGAGACTAAAATAATTTCATTTTTTTCTTTTTCGTCTGTCCTAAAAATTTGTGTCCTATATAAATTTTTTCTTCTGCACCACTTTTAACAATACAATTTCACTTTTATTACTCCCTCCATCACGATTCAAATAATCTATTTCAATTTACGATGTTTGACTGAAGTTATTTTCAGATCATTTTATATAATAAAATATAGTACTCCCTCCGTCCCGTGAAACATTTCTCCTTTCTTTTTTTATCCGTCCCACAAAACACTTCTTATTTCTATTAAAAAGTCACTTTTACCCCTTACTTTTCATACCCTAACTATCACATCATACCTTTTTACTAATAATCTATCCATCAAATCATACTTTTACCCATCACATCAAAGGACATTTTTGGAAATTCAATACCAAAATACACTCCCTTAAATCTCTCCTAAAAATCAAATGTCCCATGTTTCACGGGACGGAGGGAGTATAAAATTAAAAAATAAATTTTACATATTTAAAAACTACATCAAAAAATTTATAGAATTAATAGTGACATGATCATATTATTTTATCAAATGACTAATGAAAATAAGAAAAATAAAAGTAAAAAAAAGTTTAACTCCGTAAATAATAAACAGACAATTAAATTTGAGACAGAAAAAGTATATACTCCCTTCGTCCCATGAAACATGGGATGTTTTGCTTTTTGAAAAGATTTAAGGGAGTGTATTTTGGTATTAAATTTCTAAAAATGTCCTTTGATGTGATGGGTAAAAGTAGGATTTGATTGGTAGATTATTAGTAAAAAGGTATGATGTGATAGGTAGGGTATGAAAAAGTAAGGGTAAAAGTGACTTTTTAATAGAAATGAGAAGTGTTTTATGAGACGGATGAAAAAAGAAAGGAGAAAGATTTTATGGGACGGAGGGAGTAATTAATATGGCGAATCAATAAATGGACGACAAGTCAAATTCAAGATCCTTGATTACTAAGGTAGATTTCTATAGATACGCTCAAGGTTCAAATGACATTGGTTGGTAATGTCATGGGATGACTCGAAGGCGCTCCGGTGCCCCGTTCGTAAAATTTACGGTGCCTACCCCTCCTAACCCCCCCCCTCCCTCAATTGCACCCCACAAGTTGACTATGACTTTGGAGTCAAGACTCCAAAATCAAAATCAACTTGTGGGGTACAATTGAAGGGGGTGGGGGGTGTGTTCGTGCCGGGGTCGGGTGGGGGTTTACCGGGGGGTTAGGAGGAGTAGGAACCATCAATTTTACGAACAGGGCATCGGAGCACCCCAGGTCATCCCATGACATTGCCCTCCAATGTCACTTAAACCTTCCCCGATAGATACATACAATAAACAAATTTTTTATTATCCATTTGCAGCCTACCCACGATGTTTTCCATGGTTATGAGTCATGTTTGCTTGTCTTTCACGTACATGAGACTATGAGAGGCAATTTCCAAGGTACGGACAACCTTTTGAACTCTATGATTAAGCTTCTCTCAATCTACATAAAGGACTGCATTCATGATATGCAAAGAATATATTCTTAAATCGTCTCTCATTTTCTATTACGATCCATGACTCATGTATTATTACATCACGATTAAACTTTTCTTAACTTTCGTCACTCCCTCATTTCTCCAAAGCTAGTGGGACCAGGAGTAACAAGTACTCCCTCTGTACAAATTATTGACTTCACATAATTTAATTAGTGTTGAAAAGAATGATTAGAATCTATTTGGAAAAAAGAAAAAAAGTACCACACATCCTTTATTTGGTAAGGAAAATGTTGTATGACAATTTTTTTTAGATAGACTAAAAGGAAGTGTGAAGAGCTTTGCAGTTGCGTTCGTTGTGCAAATATAACAAAAAGGCCATAGTTTGAACAATACTCTTGTATTACAAATGTAAAGAAACGCTACCCAACAGAATACTACAAAAGTCAGCAATGGAAGGGGATTGGCAGGCAGGCCAAAATACAAGTGTGCAACAACAAATTATAAACATTGTGACCTACAAGAGCTTTCCTACCTCCAAAATCCACAGCGTCAATGCAAAAATTAGGAGCAGTTTTTTCTTCTCACCCTTGGGTGTAAATTGACCAAATGCAAAAATTAGCAGCAGCAACCAAAGTCCACTTGAGCGGAAATAAACTGTACCAAAACAGTAATATCAGTTTTATTCCTTTGGAGATTAAAAAACAAAAACGAAATAAGAATTACTTTGTGATTTTGAGAAAAAAGGGGAAAAAAACCCAACTTAAGTGAGTAGTAGTAGAGTATCCAATTTCAAATAATCAAAAGATAGATGAAATGAAACTTGATGTTCATGGCACGCATCAGCAGGATGTGTTAAGAACATATTTGATGGGGAAGTACCTTACACAACTGAGTACCGTCCTGGCTGAGCAGAGCCTGGAAGTGATGTTGCTTGCATGGTTAAGTCCTCCAAAACACGTTTCAACTCAACTTTGGCCCTCTTGACAGATTGTTCTGTGGGACCCTCAATGAACAAGTAGAGTTTTCTTTCCCCTGGTCCCGGTGACTTTCCAAGTGGGATATGTAAACCTCTGGTCGTGATCGCAGCTCCTGTCCATTCTGATATAGGACCCAAGGTCTCTTTGTGTGTCACCTTCCACCGAGCATTTTGGGGGAAATCATTTATTTCCAACTCCGCTTCAAAATGCTCGGGAATGGCCTCATTCTGAATCTTGGCCAAGTTCTGCTGCAAATTCTTAGCCGCGAGAATTGCAGCTGTTGTGGCAGATCTATCATTAGGGGCCATTAGCAGTCCATTTCCTTGAATAAGAATATTGCCAAGAGGACCGGGTAATCCAGTATGAGGCTGCAGCTGAGTAGGTGGGACTGGAACTGCAATTTGAGGTACATTGGCTTTGGCAGCAGCAGCAAGAGCAGCTGCCACTGCCACCTGCTGAGAGACATCACCTCCTGTCTTTCTGATTCCATCATCCTCATCCTCCGAATCCGATTTGTCTTCCTCAAATCCATACTCTTTAGCTTGAGCTTTCTTTGCGGCTTTCCTCACTTCATCCTCCTCTTCATTAAATTTAAAGCCACTGCCTCCATAACCAGTACCATGAGCCTGTTCAAGTCCCTGATTAACCTTTGCCATGAAACCCTCAGCAAGTTTTTTCAGGTCATCAGGAACAACTTGCTCAGAGAGTTCTAAAGCCTTTACGAGATCTGGTGCATATCTTGCATCTTCATCAGATATAAATGTGATAGCGCAGCCCTTTCTACCAGCTCTCCCAGTCCGTCCAACACGATGAACATAGTCTTCATAATGGTTCGGAGCATCATAGTTTATCACCAACTCAAGCTCCTTTACATCTAAACCTCTAGCAGCAATACTAGTTGCAATCAAAATGTGACATACATTACTTTTAAAATCTGCAATAGTGGACTCACGATCAGTCTGATCTTTTGCACCATGAAGTGAAAGGCAAGGATAGCCGTGCTTTAACAAGTCCTTAAATAAAGCATCACATTTATCCTGAGTGTGGACAAATATCAGAATTTTCCCTATCTCGGACCATTCTCCAAGTATTTCCAACAGTCTAAAGAACCTTTCACCCTCTGGCCTCACCTCAACTAATTGGGTTATATCTTTGTTCACGACACTCCTTCCACCAACCTGAATCTCAACAGGTTTGTTCAACACTTTACGCGCCAACGCCTCAACCTGACGAGGAAAAGTAGCAGAAAACAATACAGTTTGGCGGTCTG